CTTTTTTTTCTTTTCGGTCAGTCTCCTAAGGCAGGGGTTGGCAACATACAGTCTATGGACCAGATCTGGCCTGCAAAGCCAGAGTGTTTTGCCTCTACCTGTACCTGTGCTAGGGCTAGGCAGTGAGGAGCTGCACTAGGACCGGACAACTGGACGCTATGCCCACATCGCTGCTGCTGCTACTGTTTTCTCCCTGTCCTCCTTGCTTTTGCCTGCAGTGTATGCACAGCTTCTGGCCAGTGGAGAGCCAAGTAGGTCTGAGCAACTTCCAACTGTGCCTGTACTGCAGTTAAGGGAGGTGAGGGGAAGGGGTAGGGTAGGCAGGAAGAGAAGGACAAGTGGCAGCAATGTGGACACAGCTTCCAGCTGCTTGGTCTCAACATGGCTTCCAACCAGCTCAAAGCTGTCCCTCTGCCCCAGCCAGGGAACACAGGTAGTGAGGAGAAGTAGTAGCAGAACCTGTCCACAGTGTGGATGCAGACATCCCCTCGTGCTGCCCTGGACATGCTGCCAAAGCCACCTGGCCTGTGCCAGACTGGAGCTAGGTTATTTCAACCCATTGGTTAGAACAGTTTCCGGGAAAAGGGAAAAATAAACTAATATTCACCAGATGGCATACAGTGTGACTATTAAGCCAACATTCCCTGAATTCTTTGTTTTTTGAAGCTGGATAAATTCTTATGTACCGTAAAAGCTTTGTTATCTGGCACCCATGGAGAATGGGGGGTGCTGGATAACAAAATATGCCGGGTAATTGGGAGGCCCGAACAGGCGTCTTTGCCTGTTTGGGCCGCCGTGTCCAAGGCGTTGCCGCCCCTCCAGCAGCATCACTGACCCTCCCGCGGGCCTTGTGCGGGGCCCTGCACAGCCTGCTATGCCCTGGGCCATGGGGGCTCGGCAGCACAGGCTGCTTTGCCCTGGGCCATGGGGGCTCAGCAAAACCAGAAGTGCCACGGTGGGCACTTCCGGTTTCACTTTACCTTACAAGCATGCATGCCAGTTAATAAAACCAGCTTGTAAGTTGCCAGTTAACAGAGTTTTTATTGTATATTATTTATCTCAGTCCTATTTTCATAAAGAAAATATGTAATCAAATGTTTTTATTTTTCCTAGTAACCTTGGAATGGATGTATGGGATTCTGATGATGATATTATGCCCCCACCAATTGTGATGGAAGGACCTGTAGATAGGTTTCCAAATGAAGATTTCCATGGGTAACTAACAAATGTGCCATTTTTTAAACTAAGTGTACCATGAAAGATAATTAACTCGGGACTAGTAAACTGGTAAATAGAGAGATACCAATTAGGCTTAACTAAATTGAAACTTGTTTTAAAATACTGAAAGTATCCTACATCTTGCCAGTAAGGCTGCAATCATAAAAGAACTCTTCATTCAAAATATATTTATAAAAATTTTAAATTGTGGCAAGAAGGTGAAGGCCCAAGTGCAGGGGGGCTGGACGCAATAATCTGTAAATTCCCTTCCAGCCGCTAATAACTATGAAACTATGAAAGGCATGCTTTGACAGAATATCTACCTTTAAAGGGGAATAAGAACTTGGGTTCACTGGGAAAAATTTTATGGTACAAACCTTATCGTTTTTTGTGTTGGTTTTTTTTGGTTTGTTTTGGGGGGGTTAGGTTTTTTTGAAGGGATTATTTAATTCTGCTTTTCCATAACATTTCAGTACAGTGGTGAATTTTATTTTAATTCTTTTCCTTGGAGGCCAGTTTATGTTTACCTCTCTCTCTAAGGCTAAGAAATTGTGGTGGAATGTTTGTTGTAATTTTTCTTGTCATCTTGTTGTTTCTCTAATTAATTTAATCAGAAAGTTAAGGTAAAAAAATCTTGTGAGGTTTTTTTGTTTTTTTTGGAGGAGTTATTTAGAGTATTTATACTCATATTATAAAGATGCTGTTTAACACGTCAGTTCTTTTTGCAGACCTGGGAAAAGATTACGAATTTATGATGACCACTCTCATGATGATTTGCAAGGGCAGTTGCAGTTGAGAGATTTTGATTTCATTAACAAAGGACCTGGACAAAGACGAAGACCATTTCCTGATCACCAGTCTCAGGATGATTTACGAGCCCCAATGCAAATGAGAAATTGGGACTACAACAGGGGACCTGGGCAAAGGATAAGACCTTTTCCTGACCACCAATTTTATGATGATTATCCGGAAGAAATGCAGCTGAAGGATTTAGATTTCTGTAACAAGGGACCTGGACAACGACTGAGACCTTTTCATGGCCACCAGTCTTATGATGACCTGCAGGCAGACAGGCAGTCAAGAGACTTTGAATTTAATAGGGGCCATGGACAAAGGCAAAGAACCTTTCCTGACCACGCCTCTCACAGTGACTTACAAGGAGACATGCAGCCAAAAGACTTTGATTTTGTCAACAGGGGTCGTGGCCAGAGGCAAAGGCCTTTCCATGACCATCAGTCACATGATGAGTTTCAACCACAGATGCAACTGAAAGATTTAGATTTCATCAACAAGGGGCCTGGTCAGAGATTGAGACCTTTTCGTGAGTACGAATCACGTGATGATTTACAACCACAGATGCAGCTGGGAGACTTTGAATTTGTTAACAGGGTTCATGGGCAAAGACTGAGACCTTTTCATGATCACCAGCCTTGCAGTGACTTGCAGAAGGAAATGCAGTTAAAAGATTATGATAATAAAGGGCCTGGACAAAGATACAGACCTTTTCATGATCATCAGCCATATGATGATCTACAAGAGCAGCAGCAGTTGAACAATTTTGATTACACTAATAAGGGACATGGACAAAGGTTACGTCCTTTTCATGACCGTCCATCCCATAATGACTTGCCACATGAATGGTGTTCAGACAGGTGAGGTATTCTTTTGCTGTTACAGCAGGAAGATAAGCTGTGGTAGTACACCCCTCACTAAGAGCCAAATAGCAAGCACTAATCCTTGTCAAATTGAATGAAATTAAGGATGATAAGCTATTAGCTAGCATTTTACCCTTTAACCTATTGAAAGGTTTGTAAGACCAAGATCTAGAAGTTGGGATATTGTGACCTCCACAACTCACATTTTCAGGCATTTTGTGCTATCCTGAGTTGGAAGGCTGAATAACTTTGAATTAAAGTTTATGCATTTTCACTAACTGTTCATAGACCCAAATACTTCATTTTATAGTGAAGAGGTTTGCATTTCAGAATCAGGCCTCAGGATTATTAAATACAATATTTATTCAAATCTAAAATGACTGAAATTAGATTCTATACATGGACTATTTATAATTTTATTATAATTTTCCATGTATAGAAACTAATTATTGGAGTGCTGAGTCTTTTTAATTCATCCCCCCCCTCACTGCTACAAGGAGGTAAGTGATGTGGGGAGGTCAAGCAGCTTGCCTCCAGCTTGTGCCTACCCCCCCTGAGCCTCAGACCGCCTGCCCTGAGCCTCAGACCCCCTGCTTCTGTTTCTGCCTCTGCTCTTCCCCCTCCCCCTAACCTCTCTACTCCCCCTTTTACCCGTCCCCCATCAGCTTCTCTGCTCCCTGTTTTCCACCCCCACCCCTTAGCCTTGCTCCACACCAGCAGGATCCATCTCTGTTGTAGCCTGGTTTACTGAGCAAGGCCCCAGCCCAGCCCCCTTAGCAGCCATGCAGGCCGTGTGCTGTTGCTGCAGGGCTGGGCTGGGTCATGTTTAGTGCCCCAGGCTGCCATGGAGAAAGGGTAATGGGGAAGGGGAAAAGGAGGTGGGCAGGTGGGGAATCAGAGGTGGGGGGGGCGGGGGGGAGATGGGGTGCAGAGGTGGCGATTGGGAGGGATGGGGCACAGGCAGCATCTGTGGCCATGGCCCCCAGTAGGGGCTGGAACCTGAGCTACAGCAGCTGACTGTCTCCCCACCATGCTTGTATGTGATTCTAAGATGAAGAGTTTTTCTGCATGATAAATAGGGGGGAAACCTTGTCTTAAAATTGAGTAAATACAGAAACACACAGTCGACAACACACCCCAAAAAGTGTTGGATTTCGTTTGCCTATTGTATTAGTCAGAGGTGTCAAACTCACCAGAGCTCCTGGGATGGATCCCAGCCATTGACATCCCCAGCAAGGCTCTGTAGCTAGAAATTTGGCAGACAGGCTGAATTTCCAGCCCCTTAGGAGTCCTGTGAGCCAGATCTTTCATCCCCCTAGTATAGGTAATACTTTGCTAGAGATCCTTCCTATAAAATATTTCAGTATTCTCCATAACAGATATTCACTTTATTAATAAATGGATTCAATAGTAAAACTTGCAATATTTGCAAAATATACTTTACAAATTAATTCATTTTCACATATGTTAGGGTACTATAATCTTAATATTTCCTAATTCATGCCTTTTTAAGATCATAGGAATATAGGGCTGAGAAGGACTTCATGAGGTCATCCAGTCCAGGCCCCTGCTCAAGGCAGGATCTTCCTTGACTGAACCCAGTCAAGTGTCTGTCTGAACTACATTTGAAAATTTCTAGGAATGGAGATTCCATGACTTCTCTCAGTAGCCTGTTCCAAGGCTTGGCCACCCTCACAGTCAAAGTTCCTCCTGACCTCCAACCTAAATTTCCCCTGCTGCAGCTTGAGTCCAAGCTAGTTACTTCTAGTCCTGTCCTGTCCCCTATGACTTCTGAGAAAAGCCCATCTCTATCTTCTCTGTAATTGCCCTTTAGATATTTGAAGACTGTTATCAAATTCCCCCTCAGTCTTAACTTCTCCACACTAAATAACCCTAGTTCTTTGAGATTTTTCCTTATAAACGTTGCCTCTGAGGCCTCTAATCCTTTTTGTTGCTCTCCTTCCAATCTGTCCACATGTTTTTCTTGAAGTGTGGAGCCCAAAACTGGACATAGTACCCCACATAAGGCTCATCAGTGCTGAACAGAGTAGAAGAATCATTTCCCTTGATTTGCAAGTGACACTTCTGTTAACATCCAGGATACTGTTTGGTTTTTGAAACAAGAGTACACTGTCTTGTATTCAGCTTATGGTCTACTGTAACCCACAGGTCTTTCTCTGCAGTACTGCAGCCTAGCCACTCACTCCCCAGTGTGCATTTGTGAATGCACTTATTTTGTCCCTAGTGGAGGACTTTGCATTTGTCTGTGTTGAATCTCATCTGTTCTAATTCTTCCAGGTCTTTCTGGATCATAGGCCTCCAGAATGCCTACAATTCTACCCAACTTGGTGTTGTCTGCAAATTTGCTAAGCATGCACTCAGTCCCATCATCTAAATCATTATTGAAAATACTAAACAATACTGGACACAAGATAGACCCCTGGAGAATCCCACTTGATACCTTAACTAGACAGTAAGTCATTGGTGACCTGTTCAACGAGTACAATGATCCATCCAGTTATGTACCTTAGAGTACTTTGGTCTAGTCTGTATTTCCTTAGTTTGTGAATGAGAATGTCATGAGGGGACAGTGTTTAAAAAGCTTTGCTAAATATCACATCTACCGCTCCGCCCTCATCTATAGTCTGTCACCTTATATTTCATAGACATCAGGGCTGGAAGGGACCTTGGAAGATCATTGAGTCCAGCCCCCCGCCCAAAGGGCAGGAAGTCAGCTGGGGTCATAGGATCCCAGCAAGATAAGCATCCAGTTTCATCTTGAAGGTGTTCAATGAAGGCGCTTGAACCACCTCCGGTGGCAGGCTGTTCCAGACCTTGGGGGCTCGGACAGTAAAGAAGTTCTTCCTTATGTCCAGCCTGAAACGATCTTGAAGTAGTTTGTGACCATTCGACCTCGTCATCCCTTGGGGCGCTCTGGTGAACAAACGTTCCCCCAGATGCTGGTGGTCACCCCTGATAAACTTGTAGGTGGCCATCAGATCACCCCTGAGCCTGCACTTTTTCAGGCTAAAGAGCCCCAGGGCTCTCAGCCTGTCATCGTAGGGTCTGCTTCCCTGACCTCTGATCATGCACGTGGCTCTTCTCTGGACTCTCTCAAGCTTCTCCACATCCTTTTTGAATTGTGGAGCCCAAAACTGGACACAGTACTCCAGCTGCGGCCTCACTCCTCGGATCATGCGCGTGGCTCTTCTCTGGACTCTCTCAAGCTGCTCCACATCCTTTTTGAATTGTGGAGTCCAAAACTGGACACAGTACTCCAGCTGCGGCCTCACTAAGGCCGAGTACAGGGGGAGAATGACGTCCCGGGATTTGCTTGAGAAGCATCTATGGATGCAAGCCAGCATTTTGGTCGCTTTACTAGCTGCAGCATCGCACTGCAGGCTCATGTTCATCTTGTGGTCAATGACGACCCCCAAGTCTCTTTCTTCCATAGTGCTAGCCAACATAGCACTGCCGAGCACACCTTAGCTTACTGTATTTTCTTGTATATAAAACACCCCAGAATATAAACACACCTTATTTTTGAAAAACAAAATGAATAAAAAAATCTTTTCCTGTAGTAAATGAGCTAGAAATCTGAACCTGCTCATAGGAAGTAGAACAATGGTTTGCTGCAGAGTCTACATTCTGTTTCACCAAGTAAACTGGCAAAACCTGCTCTTGCCCTATTACTTGCATATCATGTGTACCTCAATTTCCAGGAGCTGTTTTTTGGGAAAAGGTTGTGTGTTGTATGTGAGAAAACACAGTATTTTGAGTAACTTTCGTGTACCAAATCAGAGTATTTTACTGGGAGAAGTACTACAGAGAAGAAATATTACAGTGCATAGGGTTGGATTGATGGGTATACAGAAAGAGGAACATAGTCTAGGGAGGGTGCAAGATTGTGAGAAGACAGAAATCCACAATCTGTAAAGTAGAGAAAATGTAAATAAGTATTCAGGGAGAGTGATTGCACAATGGAACAAAGACAGAATTCAGCAGAGAAGAATTGATAAGGTGCACAAACTAGGGAAAAAGAATGTTTTTGAAGAAGACACTTCCCTTAGAGCAGGGGTGTCAAACATACAGCCTGCTGAGCCATATGATCCAGTCTGTGGGGTTTTGGGAGGGGCCTGGATGTAGGAGTAAGACAAGTGGGCATGGTGTTGAATTTCAGGGTGTAGAGTCCCATTAGGAACACATTTTGAGAGCAGCAGGCCAAGAAACAGTTGTGTTAACCCCCCCTGGCTCCCTGAGCAGACAGTGGTTCCCACCCTTGCCATTAACCCTGCTGGGGGGGTCTGGATCTGGCCCACAAGGAACTCATGATTCAAATCTGGTGGGGGTGCAAGTGAGTTTGACACATCTGCCTTATATTTGACTATCAATTCTTTGGTTCTTACTCAATGGGATCATTATTTCACCTTCCCCCCCCGCTTCTGTCAGATCCTGCAGTCTTAATTCTAAGCTTCCAACAAGTTTGTCATAAGAATACTTATCCCAGTTGAAAGCTGCCACGCTTCTGTAACAGCTGTAGTCTGGAAATCTAAGTGCTTTATAAACTCCCCTCTCCCTGTGGTCACGGTCCCTTAGGGCCTCACTGACAAGCCTCCTGAGCTTGTCAAAGTCGGCTTTCCTGAAGTCAAGGACTTGCGTGTTGCTGACCGACTTGCCAGCTTTTCGGTGGATGGTGAAGGT